TGATTGTTAATTGCAAACGGGTTGTAATTGGTTTAAACCATCGAGTGTTGATATACTGTGTCACCAATGATGGGTGAACTCATCATTAGGACGAGCACTTAGTGTTATTATTCTGTGTCATCAATGTCATCAAAGTCATCAAAGGTTGTCATCAAAGTCCAGTATTCACTAAATGTTGATTGAGAGGCAATTAACGTAACGTCACTAAGGGAACTCCCATTGCTTAAGAGGAATTTTTCATTAGACAATTTAAGTTAACGTAAGATATGTTTGGGTTAATTATTTTCCAAGGAACAGCTGATTTGGTCGTTGAAGTGATTGGCGCCAAAGCAGCCACTTCAGGGGACGTCAGTGTTGCAGGTATTCCGTGAGGACTGAAGGCTTGCACTTAGGTACTGTCTGTTGCAAATTATCTGTCAAATAGACAGGTAATTAAGGGTTTACAGAAGCCAAGGTAGTTAACACTCACATCAGGGTTTGATCCACTCACACGAAGGCTGCATTGTTGCATTAACTTATCGCCTGTTATTAAGTAGCTGTCAGTTAGACTCGTAGCCTGGTGGATAGCGCGCAGGACTCGTAATTCTGTGGCGCGGGTTCGATTCCCGCACGAGACAGAAACAAATGGGCAAAGTTTCTTTCACCCTAAATACCCCTGTTACCTAGCAGTAAATAGGTACCTGGGTGTTAGTCAGCTGTCACGGGCTGCTTCCTGGGGGTGGAGGCCTGGTCGATGACCGGGCCGCGGGGACACTAAAGCCCCGAAATCATCTCAAGATAACCTCAAGATAGACAAGTAATATGATTGACTCTTGGGAGAGTAAAGTCATTCTTAAGTAACGTAGATGTGGTGACTAGTTATCGGTCCGTGGGATAGTGAACTTGTCCCCTGAGTTCATAGGGGTTATATCTATCTTGAGGTTATCTTGAGATGATTTCGGGGCTTTAGTGTCCCCGCGGCCCGGTCCTCGACCAGGCCTCCACCCCCAGGAAGCAGCCCGTGACAGCTGACTAACACCCAGGTTCCTATTATACTGCTAGGTAACAGGGGCATAGGGTGAAAGAAACTCTGCCCATTGTTTCTCGCCGGCGCCTGGGATCGAACCCGAGACCACAGGATCACAAGTCCAGCGTGCTGTCCGCTCGGCCGACCGGCTCCTTAAATGTGGGTATGTGGGGTGTGTGGGCCCCCAGAGGGACTTTTATTTCAATGATGTTGAGGCAACGTAAAAGGTAACGAATTCGTTTGTAATTAATTATTGATCTTTGAGATAGTCATTAATTGCTGGAGGTAGTCAAGGGTGGTTACCGTCATCTTAACACTTTGGACATAGAATGGTGGTAAGCTATCGCGTGGGTGATAGTAACTGATAACGTAACTCGTACTGGGATTAATTAGCTGTCTGTAGGGCAGGGATTAATGGAGATTACTCACTGATCACTCGACGGGTAGAGTGTGTAATCCCGAGTAACTAGTGACAGTTGTACAGTCAGACGTTTGTGTGGCAGACAACATTAAGTTAACGTAAGTGTCGTCATTAATATTAACGTCATCAATTAGTCATTGATTGTTGATCATCCGAGGGGACGAAGTCTTAACGTAAGAATTTGATTAAGGATTGTTGCTGGAGTGGCCAGTAACCCCATTAGTCATTGTATCGTCACTGACAGACTACTAGTTTGATTGTATTGCTACTGCTACTGCAGGGGGGACGGTGGGGGCAGGGCTGCCAGCAGCGTGAACTCATAGCAGGTTACTGGAGGCGTGTCTGCTGACCTACCATGTTGTTGTTACACTGGTGATGATAGATTAGTGTGTTATTGCTTGACTGCCTCTGTGAAGACTCGGTACTGGTCAGGTTAGTTCATTTATCCAACACAACGTGATTACAGGAAGGATCCTGTAACTCTACTCATGACTGGTGTCTACCTGTTGTAAAGTTGTCACAGGAAGGATTTCGAGTTACGTCAGTTATGTTTCTGGTGTCGTAGTAGTTAGTATTTTGTTGAATAAACTGTGTTGTTAAGTTATAACTGTCTTTCATTACTTCCCACACTGTTGATGATTGTTCTGCCACGCTGCTTGAATATATTATTGCTAATAATCTGAGGCTGCTTCTTGAGCCTCGAGCTGAGTCCATAGCACCACACACAACTAACGTTATGTTGTGAGGACCAGTGACCTGCTCCTAAGACTCACTACAGCGATTGGTGAAGGTCGACGGCCTAGTGAAAGGGATCTCAAACTTTTGAGATCTCGGCGTTTGTTCGCGCCTAGTCAAGAGTGGGGAATGAGCTGCTTACTACACTAAGTGTGTTAGCTAAGCAGTTCCTTCCTCAGGAAACACATCTAGACTTTCAGTTAAAGTTAACGGATGTACTAGTATCACTTATGATGAAAATTCTCACAATCAGCAAACATTGAGAGGAACGATTGTATACCCTCTGGGAGATCATTTACATATATCAGAAACAGTATAGGTTCAAGGACTGACCCCTGCGGGACTCCACTCGTAACGTCTCGCCAATCTGAGACCTCACGCCTCACACTGACTCGTTGTCTCCTGTTACTTAGGTACTCCTGTATCCACCTATCTATCTGTCACGGAAGGCATTTACCTCCGGACCAGGTCGGATGGAAAGCTCTTTAACCTCGCCAGGCTGAGAGCCAAGACAAAGGTTCGGCTGAGGTGTCTGCGCGACTTCCTCTTTGCCGACGACGCAGCAGTCACTGCCCACTCAGCTGAAGACCTCCAACGGCTCATAACCCGCTTCAGCGAGGCCTCTCAGGCTTTCGGACTCACCATCAGTCTGAAGAAAACACAAGTCATGGGACAAGGAGTGGACTCCCCACCTGACATCGGCATCTCTGATTCCAAACTGGAAGTTGTTCACGACTTCGTGTACCTGGGCTCCACAATCTCTGACTCCCTCTCTCTTGATACGGAGCTAAACAAACGCATCGGTAAGGCATCTACTACCATGTCCAGACTGACAAAGAGAGTGTGGGCCAACAATAGGCTAACTGAGTATACTAAGATTCAGGTTTACAGATCCTGTGTCCTGAGCACTCTCCTTTATGGCAGTGAGTCTTGGACACTCCGCGCCCGTCAGGAAAGACGGCTGAATGCCTACCACATGCGCTGCCTTAGACCCATCTTGGACATCACCTGGCAGGACAAGGTGACAAACAACAACGTCTTGGGGAGAGCAAGAATCACCAGCATGTACACAATGCTGAAACAGAGACGAATGCGCTGGCTCGGGCACGTTGTGCGAATGGGCGACGGCAGGATCCCCAAGGATCTCCTGTATGGAGAGCTGAGGCAGGGAAAGCGTCCAACAGGCAAGCCCCAGCTACGGTACAAAGACGTATGCAAAAGGGACCTGAAAGCCATGAACGTCGATCTAGCTATATGGGAGACACAGGCTGCAGACCGTTCAGCCTGGAGGCAGTCTGTTCAAAGAGGTCTCTCCAAGTTCGAGGAGTCACTTGCCAAAGAATCGGAGGCAAAGAGACAGAAGGAAAGCCGGTAGCCAGGAAGACAGACCAGAATCGGACTTCGTTTGTGCTCGGTGTGGGATGGACTGCCACTCTGGGATTGGTCTCATCAGTCACACCAGACGCTGCACCAGTATTGACAACTAGGGCGCAACTCCATAGTCTCCCGAGACTGAAGGATGCCTGCCTACTACCCTCTATCCACCGGAGTACCTTCCCTTTCACTCCAGCCTGCATCTTCAACTTTTTCACTAGCCTCTTGTGTGGCACTGTATCAAAGGCTTTCTGACAATCCAAAAATATGCAGTCTGCCCACCCTTCTCTTTCTTGTCTTATTTTTGTTGCCTGGTCGTAGAATTCAAGTAACCCTGTGAGGCAGGACCTGCCATCCCTGAACCCATGTTGATGCTGTGTTACAAAGTTCCTTCGCTCCAGGTGCTCCACTAGCTTTCTTCGCACAATCTTCTCCATCAGCTTGCATGGTATGCAGGTTAGGGACACTGGCCTGTAGTTCAGTGCCTCCTGTCTATCCCCTTTCTTGTATATCGGGACTACGTTAGCTGCTTTCCAAATATCTGGCAGTTCCCCTGTTGCCAGTAATTTGTTATACACTATGGAGAGTGGGAGGCACAGTTCTTCTGCTCCTTCCTTTAGTATCCAAGGGGAGATTCCATCTGTGCCTATAGCCTTTGTCACATCCAACTCTAGTAAACACTTCCTTACTTCCCCGCTGGTAATCTCAAACTCTTCCAGTGGTTCCTGGTTAGCTATTCCCTCTCTTATCTCTGGAATTTCTCCTTGCTCTAAGGTGAAGACCTCCTGGAATTTCTTATTCAGTTCCTCACACACTTCCTTGTCGTTTGTAGTGAATCCTTCTGCCCCTATCCTTAATTTCATAACCTGTTCCTTTACTGTTTTTTTCTCCTGATGTGGCTATGCAGCAATTTAGGCTGAGTCTTTGCCTTGCTTGCGATGTCATTTTCGTATTGTCTTTCTGCCTCTCTTCTCATCCTGACATATTCATTCCTGGCATTCTGGTATCTTTCTCTGCTCTCCAGTGTCCTGTTATTTCAATAGTTTCTCCATGCCCTTTTACTTTGCTGCTTAGCTAGCTTACATCTCTGATTAAACCATGGGTTTCTCATCTGTGTGTGTGTGTGTGTGTGTGTGTGTGTGTGTGTGTGTGTGTGTGTGTGTGTGTGTGTGTGTGTGTGTGTGTGTGTGTGTGTGTGTGTAGAGTGTTGCTATATAGTGTTTGTACTACAGTCAGGTAAACTGTTGTATATCAATGATCAACTTAGCTCACACTCACCTGCGCTGTTTTTAGTTAATATTTGACAGGATAGAGAAACACAAGAGATAAATCCACACATTCTCCAACGTTTATACAAAGTACTGAACATATATATATATATATATATATATATATATATATATATATATATATATATATATATATATATATATATATATATATATATTTTATTGATTTACTCACCATTGCTTGATTTCTTTGTCAGAAACTGCAAAAGAAGAAACAGGAATGTTGTTAGTGCATGTATTGACATTATAATTTTAGTAAACACACAATTGCAGACACACAGACACAATGGCAGACACACAGACACAATGGCAGACACACAGACACACAGACACAATGGCAGACACTCAGACACAATGGCAGACACACAGACACAATGGCAGACACACAGACACAATGGTAGACACACAGACACACAGACACAATGGCAGACACTCAGACACAATGGCAGACACACAGACACAATGGCAGACACACAGACACAATGGTAGACACACAGACACAATGGTAGACACTCAGACACAATGGTAGACACTCAGACACAATGGTAGACACTCAGACACAATAGCAGACACACAGACAAAATGGCAGACACTCAGACACAATGGTAGACACACAGACACAATGGTAGACACTCAGACACAATGGCAGACACTCAAACACAATGGTAGACACTCAGACACAATGGCAGACACTCAGACACAATGACAGACACTCAGACACAATGGCAGACACACAGACACAATGGTAGACACTCAGACACAATGGTAGACACACAGACACAATGGCAGACACACAGACACAATGGCAGACACACAGACACAATGGCAGACACACAGACACAATGGCAGACACTCAGACACAATGGTAGACACTCAGACACAATGGCAGACACACAGACACAATGGTAGACACACAGACACAATGGTAGACACACAGACAATGGTAGACACTCAGACACAATGGCAGACACTCAGACACAATGGCAGACACACAGACACAATGGCAGACACTCAGACACAATGGCAGACACACAGACACAATGGCAGACACTCAGACACAATGGTAGACACACAGACACAATGGTAGACATACAGACACAATGGTAGACACACAGACACAATGGTAGACACACAGACACAATGGTAGACACACAGACACAATGGTAGACACACAGACACAATGGTAGACACACAGACACAATGGTAGACACTCAGACACAATGGCAGACACTCAGACACAATGGTAGACACACAGACACAATGGCAGACACTCAGACACAATGGTAGACACTCAGACACAATGGTAGACACACAGACACAATGGTAGACACTCAGACACAATGGCAGACACTCAGACACAGTGGTAGACACACAGACACAATGGTAGACACACAGACACAATGGCTGACACACAGACACAATGGTAGACACACAGACACAATGGTAGACACTCAGACACAATGGCTGACACTCAGACACAATGGTAGACACACAGACACAATGGTAGACACACAGACATAATGGTAGACACACAGACACAATGGCAGACACACAGACACAATGGCAGACACACAGACACAATGGTAGACACACAGACACAATGGCAGACACACAGACATAATGGTAGACACACAGACACAATGGCAGACACACAGACACAATGGTAGACACACAGACACAATGGTAGACACACAGACACAATGGCAGACACACAGACACAATGGCTGACACTAAGACACAATGGTAGACACACAGACACAATGGTAGACACACAGACACAATGGTAGACACACAGACACAATGGTAGACACACAGACACAATGGTAGACACACAGACACAATGGCAGACACTCAGACACAATGGTAGACACTCAGACACAATGGTAGACACACAGACACAATGGTAGACACTCAGACACAATGGTAGACACACAGACACAATGGCAGACACTCAGACACAATGGCAGACACTCAGACACAATGGTAGACACACAGACACAATGGCAGACACTCAGACACAATGGTAGACACACAGACACAATGGTAGACACTCAGACACAATGGCAGACACTCAGACACAATGGTAGACACACAGACACAATGGCAGACACTCAGACACAATGGTAGACACTCAGACACAATGGTAGACACACAGACACAATGGCAGACACTCAGACACAATGGTAGACACACAGACACAATGGCAGACACTCAGACACAATGGTAGACACACAGAAACAATGGCAGACACTCAGACACAATGGTAGACACACAGACACAATGGTAGACACACAGACACAATGGCTGACACACAGACACAATGGTAGACACTCAGACACAATGGTAGACACTCAGACACAATGGTAGACACACAGACACAATGGTAGACACACAGACACAATGGCTGACACTCAGACACAATGGTAGACACACAGACACAATGGCAGACACACAGACACAATGGCTGACACTCAGACACAATGGTAGACACACAGACACAATGGTAGACACACAGACACAATGGTAGACACACAGACACAATGGCAGACACTCAGACACAATGGCAGACACACAGACACAATGGTAGACACACAGACACAATGGCAGACACACAGACACAATGGCTGACACTCAGACACAATGGTAGACACACAGACACAATGGTAGACACACAGACACAATGGTAGACACACAGACACAATGGCAGACACTCAGACACAATGGCAGACACACAGACACAATGGTAGACACACAGACACAATGGCAGACACTCAGACACAATGGTAGACACTCAGACACAATGGTAGACACTCAGACACAATGGCAGACACACAGACACAATGGCTGACACTCAGACACAATGGTAGACACACAGACACAATGGTAGACACACAGACACAATGGTAGACACACAGACACAATGGTAGACACACAGACACAATGGCAGACACACAGACACAATGGCAGACACACAGACACAATGGCAGACACACAGACACAATGGCAGACACACAGACACAATGGCTGACACTCAGACACAATGGTAGACACACAGACACACAGACACAATGGCAGACACACAGACACAATGGCAGACACACAGACACAATGGCAGACACACAGACACACAGACACAATGGCAGACACACAGACACAATGGCAGACACACAGACACAATGGCAGACACACAGACACAATGGCAGACACACAGACACATTGGCAGACACACAGACACAATGGCAGACACACAGACACAATGGTAGACACTCAGACACAATGGCAGACACACAGACACAATGGCTGACACTCAGACACAATGGTAGACACACAGACACAATGGTAGACACACAGACACAATGGTAGACACACAGACACAATGGCTGACACTCAGACACAATGGCAGACACTCAGACACAATGGCAGACACACAGACACAATGGCTGACACTCAGACACAATGGTAGACACACAGACACAATGGTAGACACACAGACACAATGGTAGACACACAGACTTGTCTTGTGACCATCGTGTTGGGTAGACGTGGGTTGGGAGCTCCTGGTTCACCAGTGGAGTGGGAGGGGTAATCAGGCAACTTCGAAGTGAAAAAGTGTGTACAAGTGAATGAAAAAAACTTGAGTTTTGGCCAGAGCCATAAGGTAGTGAAGAAAAACAGTTTAAATAGCGTAATTCAATATAGTTGAGGAAGTATTGTGGCAGTGTGTAGTGTGGAGCAGACCTCACCGACCTCTGACCGCGTGACCTCACCCCGGCAGCAACCCTCCTACCACCACGTGGGACGACGCTTGGAGATTCACTCACCTATTGTGTTAGCAGGACGGTAAGATACTTGGAACCCCTGTGGGTAAGGTTGCATTATAGCAATGACTAGGTCAGGAAGGGTGTCTAGGTCCAACAGTATTATGATTGAGGAAGAAGATAGGTTTGTGGAGAAGATGATTGGGAAATTTGTAGAGAAGAGGGATGTTTGGATAGGTGATCTAATCCAGGGGATTAAAAGTGAAGTCTTTAATAAGATACAGGGCGAGGTTCAAAGACTCAAACAAGAGTTTATGGATTATATTCAAGAGGAAATCAGGAAGAGCAGGGTAGAATGGCAAGGAGAAATATCTAGGCTTACTAATGAATTTGGCAGGAATAAGGGAAGCTTGGCAGGGGAAGGGGGAGTAGTAGTAGGTGGAGTAGCGGGTGTAGGAGGGGTGGGGGTCAGCCAGGGAGAGGGCCACCAGCATGACCCTGAACTGAGAAAGAGGACAATCATAATCCATGGATTACTTGAAGCCAGGGCACCATCGAGGCAGGAAAGGATGGAGATTGAGGATTTGGAACTACAGGGGATCTTGAGAGACATGAGAGCCCAGATGGCAGGGAATGAGGTGCAAGTCCACCGACGCATTGGACCATACAACTGTAACAGGAAACGACCTGTCCTGGTACAGTTCACTAACGAAGAGGCAGTGGATTACATACTGCATCACAAACACCTACTCAGAGGTAGCGAAAATTACTACAACGTATTTATTGACAAATTCCTGACGAAGGAGGAACAGATTGCCCACAGAGCATGCAAACAACAATACGACTCTTCCCATTTGAGCGCAGCTACACACCCCAGTGCTAATCCACCCCATGCTAACCAGCTCACAAGTGCTTCTCAGGTCACCCCTTCCCCAAATCAGCCGCCCCTGCTTATCTCCCCAGCACATCCCTTGACCCCTCTGACCCCACTGGAGTCAAATTCATCCCACATTTCAAGGACCCCCTCATCACCTCAACCCCCAAAACCCATCCAGACCTCATCCCCTCAACCCCAAGAACCCACCCAGACCTCATCCCCTCAACACCCAAAGCCTACCCTGCCCTCACCCCTCCTCATCCCCTCTCCTTCCATGTGACCCCCCACCCTTGCGAGGGAGGTGGGAGGTCCCCCCCACCCCCTCTATCCTTCCCCCTCCCAACCTCTCAACCTCTATCTGTCTCCCAACCTTACGCTATCTCCCAACCCCTCTATGCCCTCCCTAATCTTCAGACCCAGTATGCCCTTCCTACTCCAGACCTACCTACCCAGGCCCTACCCCAGACCCTCCTACCTACCTTCCTAGAAGCCCAGCCCCCAGTAGCCCCCCAAGCACCCCTCCTGAACTCTTTCACCCCCCATACACCCCCCGGACCCCCCCAGA